CTGCGGGGAACTCTGCAAAAAACGCATCTTCGCACGGGCAGCCCGTGCGTTGGCCATTTATTATCACTTTGAGCATGATAATTTCTTATCTGAGGAAAGCTTGCAAGATGAAATTTTGTAAGGGCTAACACACGAAGCAAGGGGCTGATGAAAATTTGTATATTGGGAAACAAAAGCGATGCAAAGTGCCGGCATATACTGCAGTCAGATTACAGATGAATGGTTTTAATTTGCAAGACGACTGCTACATTTTTACTGACTACAAAATAAATACGCATCACAATTTGAGCGACTGATGGTTGGCACAAATTTCACGCCACCTCCGGCGTCTTCAAAGAGTCGAATTGAAATTACTGTGCACTTCTTTTCATTACTGCTGTGTCGGACGCTGTGATGTACATATGCGTAACGTAATCACTGTTGGAAATAGACCAACAAACACTGGCTATGTCGGGTAGAGGAAAGAAGCAAAAAGGGCTTTGTCTGTCTCTTCATGACCACGTATGCAGTCAAACTGTCCGCCATATGAACGGTATTTAAGAACAGCAAATGGATATTATGTACCAACTATTGCCACTTGTGAGAAAGTGAGCGACAGTCCGAAAAGGGGGACGCACATACGTCAAAGTGAACGTTAACTAAGTAGCTCAGTTAGTTGTATAGCTAGTTAGTGTTAACATTAATTACAGTTAAGTAGCTCAGGATGTGAAGAAGCCCGGCACAGCTTTATTTAGCTGTGCCGGGCTTCTTCAAATCCTGAGCTACTTAGCTGTAATTAATGTTGTTTAGCGTTTTGATGTGTCTCAGTTACTGCAGCAACAGTGGGAATGACTGGGCAGCATCAGCATTTTTGATCTTTTGATAATTACTGTTGTAGCAAATATTCTGTGTTCATGAAATTTGCAACTTTTCTAAAAGCTTTTTTCTAGGGCCAATTGTTGGTCTGCAAATACGTCGTACGGATAAGATCAACACCGAGGCAGCATTCCATAGCCTGTCTGAGTACATGAAATGGGCTGAAGACTGGTTTCGGATTGAGGAATATCGTACGGGTGTACCCATTCATCGACGCATCTACGTTGCAACCGATGATCCTGGCGTTCTTCAAGAAGCAACCAAGACGTGCATTTTTATTTGTGATCTCTTATCAGTGCATTTTATAGGAAATTTTCGCGGTATAGGCGCCTGTTGTTTGCTTTCTTGATAGTTGAAATCATTAGTTAATAGTTTTCCAGGATGTCAGTTGCAAGATGGGGAAGTAAAGGTCGAGGTAAGCAAACTCATGTAGGTGCCAAATCTGGGAAACGAGTTGTTGTAGGAGCAAGTTTATTGTTAGTAAAAGATGAGGTGACCGAAGGAGAGAAACTTATGAATGTCTCCTTTTTGCACTTTGAACAAGCATTTAGTACATAGATACGCTGAATACCAAGACTGCCGAGCATCATTGTAGGTATCTCGTGTTGGTGATGTCACTGGGATGTTCCCTTAATCCGAGTGCATCTATGCCGAGCTCTTCGGTCCTGGATTGCATGCATTTCGTTTAGTTCCATCAAAATTTGTTTGCGCAGTCGCAATGATATCTTACACGCTGCCCATCTGATAGAAAATTTGACTATTTATACAGCCAGGAAAAGGCACGCCAAGCTTCCTTCGTTCCATCACTCTTTCCGTCACAATCAGCGTGCGCTTTTCAATTTTTTCTTCATTGGCCACATCTCGCATTTATGCGTCATTGTCTTAGAGCGGCATATAGCAGAAGCGGTTTTTGGCGTCCTATTGTTTGTTTAAAGTCTGGATCACTCCGGCAGGCCGTGAAGTGTTACTGATAGGTTATTGCAGGTACCCGGCTTATGAAGTATATGGTAATGTGACGATTTCCAGTACAGCTAAGGTTTCGTCACGTTATACTGCGGAATCGCTAACTGGTGTTGTGATTGATATCGAACTGCTGGCAAGGTACGTGTTTTTCCGTTCAAAGTATGTTTTGGCTTTGTGGCCTTGTGTTCTATCAGAGCCGTTTTTACTTGTGTGAAAGATGTAAGTTTTCTGCCTGCCAACTTGGAAAATTTTTTTTTGTGCTTGCTGAATACGAAGAGGATCATCTCAGGAACTGCCGCGGAATGCTTTATTTCGTCGGTTAACTGTTTTTCACTGTATCATATCACCATCACTGCAACTAGCAACCTTCTTTGGCTGTTGCTAACCGAAACCGCATTTTCTAATGAAAACGAAGTAGCAGAATAGAAGGGTTGGAGTAAGTGTCATGTGTAAGAAGACATTTTAGAATGGAGTCTGCGTTTTATCCCTCACCGGTAAACACAGACCGAGCTTTGCGTGTGGTTAGGAGCGGGAATCATCAGTACAGCCGCCTACCCGACATGTGCTGAATAGTCAAGTGACTAATTTACAAGACAGGTATGAGAAATAGAGAGAAAACAGAGGGG